GTGAGCTGCCTGAGAGCAGAGCCCCCAGGTCTCCCACGCAGCCCAGCACTCTGCCCGCAGCCTCACGCCCTGAAGACACTCATGTAGGATAAACAGTCTGAATCTACTCACCCCCTGGCTCTTCATCTTTCGGATGGAACTATCCCACCAGGTCCAGAGAGGTTAAGTGACTGACCCAAGGTCACATAGCAAGTCTCTGGCAGAGTTGATTCCAGAACCCTGGTTTCTGACTTCCCCGACAGGAGTCCTTGTGCTGTGACTCCTGTTAGGACACAGGGTAAAGAAGCAGGTGGGCTCCAATGCCACCCAGACTGAGACCTACGGGGCCAGGGAAGCTGGGCATGAAGTGATTCAATTGGTCTCTGAGAAGGAGACTAATTGAAGGCAGAGGAGGGTGTCGAGGGAAGACCCAGAGAGGCAGCCAGGTGCCAGGTGAACAGGGGCGCAGCCTGCTGGGGAAAGGGGTGCTCTTCGTACTGCAGCCTCCCTGCAAGGGGAGGCCAGGGCCAAGGCCACTGAGGAATCCGGAGGGCTGCCTGCAAGAAGCAGCCCAAATAGGAGAATCGGCAGGAGGGCCATCTGGCCTCCACACAGGGAAAGGACCAAGCTGGCCAGCCTGGAGGCTGGGGCCAAGGGACTGTGGAGAGGCCTCTGCATGGTGAGGACAGAAGGAAGACACGCACCTGTCACTCTTCCTCCATCCCACCCCCACCTGTCGGTGCCAGAAGGACACAGCTGGGGGGGGTTACACTCTCCTTCCCTGGGGCCAAGTGACAGTGTGGGTGGGGCTGGCTAAGGGCTGCTCAGCCCTGAAGAGGAGTCCAAGGTCAAGTCTAAGGAAGTTTGCAAAAACCAACTGGCCGAGTCGCTAATTCACAGAAACTGAAACTGAAAACTGCCCAGTTCTCCACGTTTACCAAAAACTTGCCTTCAGGACTCTGGGTAGATAAGTATATTCGTGAATACACTTATATATTTGATGGATATCATCCTATTAGCAGAATCCAATCAGGAGCTCCTAAAAAATGCTGAAATGTCAGTAGAAACAGAATGGCTCAAAAACAGGATTAGAAAAAAGTTGGAATAAACCAAAAAATTCACCTGCAAGAAGCAGCCCAAATAGGAGAATCAGCAGGAGGGCATTTTTTAGGAGCTGGGTATTTCCAGCACAGTTTTCCCACAGCTGAAGAGCAGTGCGCCTCCCTGAAGGGCTCCTGAGAAGCCTCGACAGATCCATCATTCCTTAACTAGCTGCTGCCAAACAGACCTTGGGCTGGGCCGTGGCACCGAGGCAGTGCCTGCCAAGTGCCCCAGGACCCTGGGTTCAATCCCCAGAAGGTTGGGGGGTGGGGGCGTGGCTCACAATGACAGAGGCCGGAGGCCAACCTGGAGCAGCAAGTCTCTCCGTCCTGCAGGGGAGCCTGGTTTTCTGGTATGGAGATGGCCCCAGGTTGCAGGAGGAGGGGGGTTTCACAGTTTCCAACGAGGGCGAATTACTCACTGGAGACTGCGGGCAGAGCTGTTGGGACACACGGGGACCTAGTTGTGCTGGTTGAAATTTGAACTCGGGAAGGCAGGGTAGGAAGTCACGGGAAGAGCTCACAACTCGGAATCCACTGCTCACCTCCCTTCCTCTGCGACCTGGAGCCTCACTCTGTGCTCCTCTCCTTCCAGGGACCATCTGCCATGGGGAAGGTCAAGGCCCGGGGTTCAGTACTGCCCCCCTCTTCAGGCCCCATTGGGTGGAGAGGCTGGGCATAGGCGGGAGGGCGGAGGTCGGCTCTCCCCTGAGGGCCGGCGTTAAGGTTGGGCAGCGTTTTCCCAGGGAGCGGCCTTGTGGAAGGTCATTTTCCAGAGCCTTCCCAGGGGAGCAGGCAGAGTCCTCTGGCCTAGTCCCGCTCACCCCCCAGCGCCCTTCCCCGCTCCCCTCTTGTAGCGCAGCTCAGAGGACACAGCCTCCCGCTGCCCAATGTCAAGGGCCTCTCCTTCAACCAGGCCCACATGGACCTCTCCGAGGTAGGTGCAGAGGGAGCCCTTTGCAGGGAGGTGGGGGTCAGAGGCTCCCGCTCACCCGCAGAGGCGGAGGCTCAGTTGGAGGATGCACCGCGTGGGCCCAGCCCTTTACCTCCCTTTCCTTAACCACCTGTCACAGCTGTCCTGGACGCTAGGCCCCATTACAGATGAGGAGACCGAGGTTCCTCAGGCCTACAGAGTCCTTCAGGAAGCCAGACCACAGGGCTGAAGAGCTCAACGCCTTCCACACATGCAGGACTCTCACAATCAGCTCCACAAAGTCATTTTTATCTCGGAGGGAACTAAAGGCTCAGAGAGGCAGAGAAAATGAGAAAACTTGCCCAGCACAGCAGAGCTGGAGTCCAAGGGGCTCATCTGAACTCACCTATTGTTACCTTAGCCTGGACTACCCACCTCCCTAGAACTCAGGTGCCCCCAGAACAGGGCTATAGTTTACATGACGAGTGCCACCAGGAGTTGAGGAGTGCACAACCTACACATCCTTGCATGGCAGGCCTGACCACCCCTCATTCCTTCATTGCCATTCACTCATTCAGTCAATGTATCTCAGGAAAAGCCCCCAAGTCTGGTCTGTTCCTTGCTCGCAAGCATCTCTGAGACTCCTTCTCCTCTGCTCAATCCTCTTTGTCCACCTGGTCTCTGACTCTTTCTTCTTGGAGTGTTCTTGGGACAGGGTGCAGTTCCTCTCTAGAACAGCCTCAGGGAGAGTGGGTTTTATGGGCATCGAGGATGAATGGGGAGTGCAACTCTGTTTCTGTTCACAGGACTACCTGCTGCTGACCATTCCAGAGTAGCCGGTTCTGACCCAGGACCAGTCCCCGCCCTCAACCACGCATGCTCAGGACCTCCAGGTCAAGAACGGCTGAATCACCGTGGACTTCTCTCTACAATAAAGATGCTTCCTGCTGGAGGAGGAGTCTGCTCCGTAGTCGCTGACCTACAGGGTTCTGGGAGGCGGGGGCTGTGTCCAGCTATTTAAATGAAGCCCGTGGTCCTGGCTCCTGGGGCCTGGGGCGGGGGGGAGGGGTCTGAGCTCTGTTCTCAGCTCTTCAAGAAAAGGGAGTTTCCTCCAAAAACGAAGAAAAGCCTGTGAGTTTCCAAAGCCCAGGCCCTGAGCGGATGGGGTGACCGT